CCTAAGCCCAAGTGACAGAACAGTGACTAAAAGATGCAAAACCTACAAACCTGTCCCTGCCCCAGTCACACATCGGACACGGCTCTCAGTCCGCGCCAACCCCTCTCGTCCTTCATGGCGTACGTACGAAGCCCTAAGCCACAGGTCTGTGAGTAAATGAGTTAAACTAAGTTTATTTCACACGTGTTGCTCATGAACTCAGGAACGAGAACTGCCAATTACTTTCCATAACAATGTGCGTCCACTAAAATAAACAAGCCGCTCACACAGTGCAGTGCACAGAAAACCCCATGAGATCAAACCCGTGAGCACCGCGCACACCTACACAGCACTGTCCCTGCCACCTGACACGTGAACTCACGCACCTTCTCCACACTGTTAGGGTGACCATCCTCAGGAAACAGCAGAAACGGAGGCGGAACTTACAGAGCAAGGACTGCTACCCAAGGTCAAGACCTGGGGCCCGAGTTTAAACCCAGGTATTCACCACAAGGACGCGCGCTCAAACCACTACTCTACAACGCAAAGACCCAAACGATCTTCTTACACAGGGTTTTCAGAGCAATACTATAAGGCTACTCAGACGTACTCTCTTTGCTTTTCCTTTTTTTTTTTTTTTTTTGAGAGGTTTTTGCTATAGGGCGCATGCGCTTGCCAGACAGACGGAGAGAGACAGAGAGACAGAAAGCAAAAAATCACCCCCCAGGGGGGTTGGTCACACCGCAATCCCTTCTCCTCCATTCTCCTCTCAGGATCTTGGGCACGCACGCACACGTGCCCGGCGTGAGTTTTAAGCCACCGGGTCCGGGACGCGAACCACATGGGAGTCCAGTGACATAGCCATTACGCTAAGTGCTGGTTCCCTGCTTTTCCTTTCCGATTGGAGGTGTGGAACAGTTTCTTATTTTCACTGGCAGTATTTTGAGAACTTACCCCACCACCCCTCCCCCACAGGGAAAGGCTTTTTTTTTTTTTTTTTAAGGTTTTTCCTATAGGGCGCATGCGCTCACCAGAAAGAAACATAAAGTGAGAAATCACCCCCCGGGGGGGATGGCCATGCCGCAATCCCTTCTCCTCCATTCTCCTCTCAGGATCTTGGGCACACACGCACACGCGCCCGGTGTGAGTTTAAGCCACCGGGTCCGGGACTCGAACCGTACTCTACTATGTGGGAGTCCAGCACCATAGTGATTCCACCAACTGCTGGTCCCACGGCTAAGCAGTTAAGGAGACTGCATCTTATTAAACAGAGCCAGAGAGTTAAGCACAAAAATATAAGTCCTGGGAATTTCATTTATCCATGCAATCACTTGACCCAGTTAATGGAGATGTGCAACAACTGAATTAGAAACTTTATTAGAAACACAAGTTCTTGTAAGGCTACCTACAGACCAAGGCTGGCAAAACAGCCGGGAAAATCTGCGCGCAATCATCTAGAAAGAACATGAACGGGACAGGCAGACCTCGGTTTGAGCCTGGTGCATCATTCGGTCATCCTGGGCTTGCACAAGCGAATTAACTTCTTGGTGCCTCTGAGCTTTGTCACCCAGAGTCCAGCGCTACCCACCTCACAGGCTCAGCAGACGCAAAGGCAGAGCAAGGAGCTCCTAGCGCCCGGGGCTCAGCCCAGAACTAGACTCCCACAGGTCGCGCCCAGACACCAACCCTCTCCGGCAGGAGGCAGGGGCCTCTCGCAGGCTGGCCTGGACTGTTCCCAGTGGGGCGGAGCAGGAGATCCCACAAGGATGGTCCCCCAGCTTAGCAGCACTTACTACACCGCCCTGGGACCCCAGCCCTCTACTCTGGGATGCTTGAGCGCAGAGCATCTTGGTCCCGCCAGCTGCCTCCCTTTTCCTCATTTCAGTGGCTCACACAGTAGGTGCTACTTGTGAAACGAGTGAAATTCACATGTTCCAGAAAAACGCGAAGTGCCGCGAGTCCCAGTGTGCACCCACTCCCGCCGCCCTGCCATGAACACCTCCTCCATTCTACGTAACACCAAACTTGACCAAACCCAACCAGTTATTCTGACTGACTTCACGAAATGTGCACGTGAGAAAGTCTCCGTAGTTACACGGTGATGAGTTGTAGACGGGAATTCTCTGCCAGTTCCCCATCAGACAAGGCTGTACGGATGCTGCAGGGTCACGTGAGAACCTGGGGCTGCCTACAACAGGTCCCATAGTCACATCACCGTCCGGCGGTCACCCCGCCATGAAGCTTCCGCCCTCACGACACAGGAAGTGACTTCTTGTTCTCCTGGTCATTTCCGGCACGGTAATCACACAAAATCATTAATCAGGTGTTGAGAACTCAAGTCTCAAAAAGATTCTGGACATATGTAAAAAGTTATATAAAATATTGAACACTTCTCTAAAGCAACCAAAGCAAAAATACTATCTCCAAAGGGGCTTCTCCACTTAGCACCTCTTCTCCCACCCTAATAAAAGCTGGTATGTGGGTTTTTAAATGTCTTATAAACTACTGTCGGGCTTTACGACAATCTGTGAGCCATTAGTAAGTGACCCGAAGCTCCCATGCACCTTGTTTTCATCTCCCAGTTATTTAGGGCTTTGCTCTGTAAGTCTGACCTAACTACCCGAATGGCAGACACTGCGTTGTAGTTCCGTATGGACTTGCGGGCTGTGACACAGCACAGGGCAGGGCAGCACTGAGAACCCCATTCTGGACCGGCAGCACCACCCTGACTCAAGAGCGAGCTGAGCCACACGGCAGCCCAACTGCTCTCAGGCGCCTCCCCACAGCAGCTAACTATTTCTTTTTTTTAAGGTTTCTCCTATAGGGCACATGTGCTTGCCGGAAAGGCAGAGACAGAAAGTGAGAAATCACCCCCCGGAGCGGGGGGTGGCCAAGCCGCAATACCTTCTCCTCCGTTCTCCTCTCAGGATCTTGGGCATACATGCACATGCGCCCGGTGTGAGTTCAAGCCACTGGGCCTGGGACTCAAACTGGTGTCTGCTACGTGGGAGTCCAGCAACACAGCCATTCTGCCAACTGCTGGTCCCAAGGCTAACTATTTCTAGAACCCCCTGATAATTTGGGGAGCTTGCCATCAACCCCAGGACACAATCTAAGGTACACCACGTTTTCATGGAGGAGAGCTGCCCTACTACGCTAGACTGTAAACTTACTAAAACGTGCCGGCCTTCAGCCCTGGGAAGTCGGAACTACTAAACCACAGCAATGGAGCATGGGTCTCACTTAAAACTGAAAATGAACCACACTGGGACACCAAGAAGTCGCCACGGTATCTTCTACGGTACTCAGGTTATTCACCGCGAGTTCTGGGTAGAGCACGGAAGTACCGCAAGGCCTACAGAGTCCAAACTGATGGGGGAGGTTGTAGGGAGCAGCCGGAGGAAGAGGATGACTTAATCACGTGGGGGTGGGGAGACCACTTAGTCCAAAAGTCCTCCGTAGAATAAGCCGTCTCACCCACATTTTAACAGCCTTATTTAGGTCAAGGTAAGGTTCATTTCTGGAAAACAAGGAGCCAGCAGCAAACTTCCCTAACTCCAGTGTAAACCACTTAGGTACTAAAACTTCACCCTCGTGCCTGCCTGGTCCAAGACCTTAAACAGCAATAAAACTGCAGACACCCAGGAAGCCTCCCTTTTAACTCGGTCCGAACACTTCCCATTTGTTTTCCCCAAAGTATTTCAGGAAATGCTAGATGCCCTGAGAGAGCATTTGTAAAAGGCCACTCGGACCCACATCTTCCGTGATGACACCACGGTCACAACCTGCAGGTAATCCCCGCCACCGCCACTGCGAAGGGGTGCCTGCTCCGGCCAGAGAACTTCCCAAATGCTGGGCGCGCTCGCACGCATGGCTGCCGAGGGCCCTTTATGACTGCTGCGTGAAATAAAGTCCGGTCCTGGGAAAGCAGGCCCTCGGCTGCAACGAGGAAGTGGCCGAGAAGCCGCCCTCACAACGTGGCCTCACACCGTCACAGAACGTGACCGTGTGCCACCGAAACTTACCGGGCGCTGGCAGAACTTGGCCAACCCCTCGCTCCGAGCCCAACTTCGCGGCTCCACCCGGGCTGCGCGGGACGCCGGGCCGCGCCACGCAGGGGGCACCCCGAACCCCGCCGGGCCCGGCCCC